ATACAATTATTTGTCTCCCATCTTTACTAAGGTAATGCTTCAATTTGTATTAAGAGTTATAAAATTTTCTTAGCCTGTCACATTGGAATAATACTGCTGAATTTTGTTCTCCAAATCTCCGAGTGATTGTAATCAGGTTGTATATTGTAGTGGCGCTGGTTGCGGAAGCATTCTGGAATGTCTATGTGGCACTATTTTGCTCTCAGTTTCCAGAGCATTAGCTCTTATTTAGGAGTACTTGTATTGCACTTTACTGTCATCAAGAATATTGACTAAATAACGTAACTTAGCACAAAAGACTTCTCTGGCCAAAATTTAACAAAATTTGTTAGCGTATTCAGCAGAAGAAAGGAAATATTTCTTATTTACAATCATTTACAATAGACACTTTTACTCTTAAAATCCATCTCTTTTCTGAACGAGAAATAATAGAATTTGAACGCAGTGTTTGGCAGACCGTGATTTATGGTAACAGTTTATGATGTAATTAACTTGTCTAGTGTAATTTTCATTTTGTGTCCTCTTATGTTTTTGCAATCAACGCTTCATGATACATAAAACAATATTAGGTACCTACTGAATGTAGATACCTGTAGTGGTTGTGGAAGTTTGTCCTATAAAGGCTCTGATGTAGGTCCTTGAAGGCACTAACAACTTATTTCGTTAACCATTTTGTGGAAAATTTTATGGGCTTATAGATTTCTCTTGGTAAACTGAGGATCAAAATGATTATGATTCTATTTAATAATAATAATAATAATAATAATAATAATAATAATAATAATAATAATAATAATAATAATAATAATAATAATAATACGAACAAAAATAATTAAAAAACTACTACTACTACTACGAATAATAACAAAAACTGATAATAATGCTCATAATAATAATAAAACAATAATAGTAACAATAATAATAATAATAATAATAATAATAATAATAATAATAATAATAATAATAATAAATCCTAGGTAGTAGGTTGGTAGACAGCAACCACCCAGGGAGGTACTACCGTCCTGCCGAGTGTAGAACGAAAGCCTGTAATTGTTTTACATGATGGTAGGATTGCTGGTGTCTTTTTTCTGTCTCATAAACATGCAAGTTTTCAGGTACGTCTTGCTACTTCTACTTACATTAAAGTCACACTACACATGCACGTACAAGCATATATATATATATATATATATATATATATATATATATAATATATATATATTATATATATATATATATATATATATATATATATATATAATATATAACATATATACAGACCCTTCTGGGTTTTCTTCTATTTTTCTTACTAGTTCTTGTTCTTTTTATTTCCGCTTATCTCCATGGGGAAGTGGAACAGAATTCTTCCTCCGTAACCCATGCGTGTTGTAAGAGTCGACTAAAATGCTGGGAGCAAGGGGCTAGTAACCCCTTCTCCTGTATATATTACCCTGCCTCGGTGGGGTACAGCCGCTGCGTTGAAAGAATAATAATAATAATAATAATAATAATAATAATAATAATAATAATAATAATAATAATAATAATAATAATAATAATAATAATAATAATAATAATAATAATAATAATAATTATTATTATTATTATTATTATTAGTAGTAGTAGTAGTAGTAGTAGTAGTAGTAGTAGTATTTTTATTATTATTATTCTTATAACAAAATCACTGTAAATATACACACATTCATCAGAGTTTCTTACAAATTTCTTAACAGATGTAGTACTTTAGTGTTTCTCTTCAATTCCCTGAGGAAGATTATTATTATAATAAAGAGGAAACGCTAAACTACAAAGGCTGTACAGCGCTGTTCCTGAGGAAGTGGGTGAGAATTCTTCCACCGTAAGCAATGCTTGTGTGTTGTAGGTGACTAGAATGACGAAAAGTCGGACATAGGTGTCTCTTCATCTCCAGTAACTTCAGTAAAGGTCGGATAAGACGAACTAATTGGGAAGGTGGGTAGAGGGGGTGGGAAGTGGGCGTCCGTTTTCCCCCAAATTCTGACCCTCGAAAATGCTCCCAGTTTTCTGACCCACCATAATGGTTCTAGTGTTCTGACCCACCATGATGGTTCTAGTGTTCTGACCCACCATAATGGTTGTAGTGTTCTGACCCACCATAATGGTTCTAGTGTTCTGACCAACCATAATGATGCCAGTGTTCTGATCCACCATAATGATTCTAGTGTTCTGACCCACCATAATGATGCTAGTGTTCTGACCCACCATAATGGTTCTAGTGTTCTGACCTATAATAATGGTTTTAGTGTGGTGACCTATCATAATGGTTCTATTGATCTGACCCACCATAATGGTTCTAGTGTTCTGACCCATCATGATGGTTCTAGTGTTCTGACCCACCATAATGGTTCTAGTGTTCTGACCCACCATAATGGTTCTAGTGTTCTGACCAACCATAATGATGCCAGTGTTCTGATCCACCATAATGATTCTAGTGTTCTGACCCACCATAATGATGCTAGTGTTCTGACCCACCATAATGGTTCTAGTGTTCTGACCTATAATAATGGTTTTAGTGTGGTGACCTATCATAATGGTTCTATTGATCTGACCCACCATAATGGTTCTAGTGTTCTGACCAACCATAATGATGCCAGTGTTCTGACCCACCATAATGGTTCTAGTGTTCTGACCTATAATAATGGTTCTAGTGTTCTGACCCACCATAATGATGCCAGTGTTCTGACCCACCACAATGCTCCCAGTATTCTGACCCACCATAATGCTCCCAGTGTTCTGACCCACCATAATGCTCCCAGTGTTCTGACCCATCATAATGCTCCCAGTGTTCTGACCCACCATACTGCTCCCAGTGTTCTGACCCACCATACTGCTCCCAGTGTTCTGACCCACCATAATGCTCCCAGTGTTCTGACCCACCATAATGCTCCTAGTATTCTGACCCACCATAATGCTCCCAGTATTCTGACCCACTATTACAACCCAAGTACTCAAAGGTCTGTTATCCTGGGTGTATAGAGAGCAAAATAAACACAACAGAAAAACTTTGAATTATATTATGGACTAGAGCTGTCCGTAAAATCGACGGAGATGATAGAGGCTTAGTAGTATTAGGATATTCATCTGTGGTTCGGTTTTATGTGTAGAGAGTACAATGTCTGTTAGTTAAAAGTGAAGGATATTAATGAAGTTTTCTTAGCAGATCTGCCTAAATAAGAGCACTAGCCATGCAATCAATTTTCAGTTAATAATGAGGTTAGGGGTCGGATCACCCTTGTTTCTTTTTTCTTATTGTTAAGTATATTATATGAAAATATTTGCGAGTGTATATGGGTAACCTCTTTTGTGTCAGTTACAATGTGTTGTTATATTTTGTCGGTGTATGTTCTGTAGGACTGAGGATCATACTGTACTCATTTTATATCTTTTTATTTTATGTTAAGGTGTAAAGTTTTTAAAAAAATATATAAAAAAGATATTTCACATCCTCGTCGAAGCGATGAGATTCCTCCAAGTTCTTTTAAATGACTCGCAAAAATCGTGCTAAGACGACTGTGTGAACGTCTCATGAAACTGACGGGGACCGAACCCAAGTTAAGACAATCCTAAAACCACCAAATCAATGCTCTCATCACAGGTCTATAGGAGATAACGATTGACTGTCCTCCAGTCTTGAGCATTGAAAGTGAAGCAAAGATTATCTGACAGTCAAACTTTGCTGATAGATTCTGTCATGGTGATCAACTTGATAAAAGCTTGTTTCATATTGCTGTCTTCACCGCTTGTCGTCACGTTGGTAACTTGTGGAGATGATGAAAGTTTGTAGAAGTATATTAAAAGTAGAGAAAGAGAGATAGAGATAGATAGATAGATATAGAGAGACGCTTTGCTTTCAATAAGGAAGTCATTGATTGAAGAATGATTTGTAGAAATCAATGTGACAAGCAAGCAAGCAAGCAAGCAAGCAAGCAAGCATGCAGTAAAGCAAGCATGCAGTCAACAGACATATTATTCATTTATGCAGGTTGATAAGCAAGCTGGCAGACAAGCAGGCAAGCTTATCTGACTGTCATTACCAACTTGCACATTACAAAGCATATCCTCCTGCTGACTCTCATAATGACAGCTTCCTCCTCCTATCCTCCCACTGGAACGTCAATTAGATATAGAGAGTTGATGAAACTACAGAAGTCCTGCCAACACAGTGTTGCGTTGCCTGTAAGTAGAGTTGATATTCTCGCCTCTCCACTGCACATAGTGGCCTCTAGACAAAACTTTGGCCGCAATTCTCAGTAGAACTCATCTCATCTTGAGCGCTTAAAATGCAATTAAGTCGACAGAAAGCAATAAGCACTGGAGACCTGTTAATTACGTACAGGTTAACATTCTCTCTCCAAATTACATTACTCAGATTACACTTATAACGAACATTACTCAGTTTTAAATTCCATTCTCAAACACAGGAAATTATCGTTAGTAATCTATTTAAACTTACATTTTCAATATTGCTCCAAGAAGAGTGAAAATAAGAAAAGGAAATGTAAAGGTATAGAGAAGAATGAAGAAGAGGAGGGATATGGAGAGAAATGGAAAAGGCATAAAGAAGGAAGACAACAGAGTATATGAGGAGGAAGGGAAGGAATGTGAAAGGTAACATCATTAGAGAAACGCTGCTACTCCTTCAATATTCATGAGAGCCAAAACCCTTCGTATATAACATTGTTTCAAACACTGCATTGATACATAACCCGCATATAATACATTGTTATATAACCCGCATATAATATATTGTTACATAACCTGCATATAATACATTGTTACATAACCCGCATATAAAACATTTTTACATAACCTGCATATGTTACATTGTTACATAACCTGCATATATTACATTGTTACATAACCTGCATATATTACATTGTTACATAACCTGCATATAGAGTGATTTTGAGGATTACTAATGGAGAGACTGTGTTGTAGTGCTTCTGAGGGAGATGACTCACCCGTAGCGTTGACAGGAAGGACAGCCGTTGCGGCGTGAACCAGGAAGCGCGGAGTGTAGTAGTCCACTGTCAGGAAGAAAAACAGATACATGTTTACAGTATGATGTAAAACACACACACACACACACACACACACACACACACACACACACACACACACACACACACACACACACACACACACACACACACACACAAGATTATAAATGAAAACCAGCATGGGTTCATGGAAGGCAAATCTTGTATCACAAACCTCCTGGAGTTTTATGACAAGGTAACAGAAGTAAGACACGAGAGAGAGGGGTGGGTTGATTGCGCTTTCCTAGACTGCAGGAAGGCCTTTGACACAGTTCCCCCACAAGAGATTAGTGCAGAAGCTGGAGGATCAGGCGCATGTAACAGGGATGGCACTGCAATGGATCAGGGAATACCTGACAGGGAGGCAGCAAAGAGTCATGGTACGTGAAGAGGTATCACAGTGGGCGCCTGTGACGAGCGGGGTCCCACAGGGGTCAGTTCTAGGACCAGTGCTATTTTTGATATATGCGAACGACATGATGGAAGGAATAGACTCTGAAGTGTCCCTATTCGCAGATGATGAGAAGTTGATGAGAAGAATTAAATCGGATGAGGATGAGGTAGGACTGCAAAGAGACCTGGACAGGCTGGACATGTGGTCCAGAAACTGGCTTCTCGAATTCAATCCTGCCAAATGCAAAGTCATGAAGATTGGGGAGGGGCAAAGAAGACCGCAGACAGAGTATAGGCTAGGTGGACAAAGATTACAGACATCACTCAGGGAGAAAGACCTCGGGATGACCATAACACCGAGCACGTCACCGGAGGCACACATCAACCAAATAACTGCTGCAGCATATGGGCGCCTGGCAAACCTGAGAATGGCGTTCCGATACCTTAATAAGGAATCGTTCAAGACACTGTACACTGTGTATGTTAGGCCCATACTGGAGTATGCAGCACCAGTCTGGAACCCATACCTGGTCAAGCACGTCAAGAAGTTAGAGAAAGTACAAAGGTTTGCAACAAGGCTAGTCCCAGAGCTCAGGGGAATGTCATACAAGGAAAGGTTGAGGGAAATCGGACTGACGACACTGGAGGACAGAAGGGTCAAGGGAGACATGCTAACGACATACTAGATACTGCGGGGAATAGACAAGGTGGACAGAGACAGGATGTTCCAGAGAGGGGACACAGGAACAAAGGGTCACAACTGGAAGCTAAAGACTCAGACGAGTCACAGGGACGTTAGGAAGTATTTCTTCAGTCATAGAGTCGTCAGGAAGTGGAATAGCCTAGCAAGTGATGTAGTGGAGGCAGGAGCCATACATAGTTTTAAGAAGAGGTATGATAAAGCTCAGGAAGCAGAGAGAGAGAGGACCTAGTAGCAATCAGTGAAGAGGCGGGGCCAGGAGCTGAGTCTCGACCCCTGCAACCACAATTAGGTGAGTACAATTAGGTGAGTATACACACACACACACACACACACACACACACACACACACACCTCAATTGCGACAGAACACAAGGAGAAAGGTTGATACAGAGAGAGAGGGTGCAAAGACGAAAGGAGGAACGAGCTGCATTGATGAAGATGAGCAGAACCTGCACTCAAGTGGAAGGGCAAGCACACCTTGCAGAAACACCCGCAGAAGATCTCCAACCACAACAACACCAAAGCAACTGACCAACCTAAACCAAAACCCACACACTGTCCCTTCTGCCCCCACCCCCCACGTCACAAACCCCACCCCTACAACAACCCCCTATGGGCACTCTGCCCCCTCCCCCATCACAAACCCCACCCAAACTGCGACTACCCCAATGCAACTGTACAATCTAAGCCAAAACCCAAATACTGTTCCCTCTCCCCAACCCCCGACATCACAAACCCCACCTCTTCAGCAGCTCCCCATGGGCACTCTGCCCTCACCCCTACTTCACAAACCCCACCCACACTGCACGCCCCCATAGGCCCCCCAGGGATCCCGCTCCCCCAACCCCAATATTTTCCCAGGACCACCGTGATAGATAAGGATAGTTTGTTGGTGGGTTGTGTGAAGGGTCTGTCTAGTTGGGCCAGCGGGCCTGCTGCAGTGTTCCCTTTCTTATGAGTCGCGCATCAGGTGTTGCTTTGTCGTGGGATGTGATAGTGAGGTGTGGGCTGGACCCTTTATATGCCTTCCATTGATGCATTACTTTCATTGTTCCTTGATAATGTGAGTAGTCACGAAAGCGCTTGTAATTTCTCTATTCTTTCACAGTGGTTGTTTTGCATATATATATATATATATATATATATATATATATATATATATATATATATATATATATATTATATATATATATATATATATATATATATATATATATATATATATATATATATATATATATATATATATATATATATATATATATATATATATATATTATGTAGTGTGTGTGTGTGTGTGTGTAATAACTATTTCATTGTATTTCGAAAGTTATTAACTTCAAATACTTTTTGCAACGGCTACAATATCTTCTAAGAAGACATAAAAATAGAATGTTAAACATTCTATGAATGGTTTAAATAATACATCTCAAATATTTAAATTTTTTAAAGAGACTGAGTTCCAGGATCTTAGTAATTACATAATTCAAAGTCAATTAAAATTACCATTTCAGTTACTCTTCGGGATTTTAAAAGACAATTACAATTACTTTATCAGAAAAATAACAAATAACACTTACAAGTATATGAAAGTTTGCCTTAAATTATTTTCCATTACTTCAGATTTTACTAATGTTGAAATCATTGTTATATACAGGAAATAATAAGCAAACATTTTCGTATTTTGAATTTAAATGGACGTACTTGAACAATGCATAAAAAATACCATTAGTTTTTTTTTTCAATCAGTGTCGAACAGATAGAGAACGTGTACGTAACATATTCGTTACACTAATTCAGCCAAAGATCCAGCAAGAAAACAAATACAGTAACTAAATAAGCTTAGTTTCACATAATGAACTTTCGTATGTTAGATCTAAGATAAATTTTAATATTTTTTTTTTCATTCAATGCAATTTAAGCAAGGAAACTACACCTAGAAGATGATCAAATTAGAAGGATTATGGAATTAATGAACTGTTGCAAAGATTTGTAGTGAGTTACTTCGCAACACGTAAAATAATGAATGTTATATTGTGTACATAAAATTCCGTGAGTTATAAGATTCAAGAATGGATGGTACTCATAAGTTACCGAGTTGTACTGAATCAGGAAATGTTCGTGGATGGTTGCAGGCCCCAGATGCGTCCTACTGGATTTAAAAAATTCTTGTATGCTCTCTCACGGTGCTGGTGTGGCTACACAACTCATTTCTCTCGCTGAGTTCTTCAGAGACAGCATCGCTGGAGGAGAATCTCTCCAGTTCACCAAGGGATCTACGTCGACTGAGGCACAATCCTCTTACCTGGAGAGGGTTTCGGGGGTCAACGTCCCCGCGGCTCGGTCTCAGACCAGGCCTCACGGTGGATCAGGGTCTGATCAACCAGGCTGTTACTACTGGCCGCACGCAAGCTGACGTACGAACCACAGCCCGGTTGGTCAGGTGCTGACTTTAGGAGCCTGTCCAGTGCCTTCTTAAGACAGCCAGGGGTCTGTTGGTAATCCCCCTTATGTAGGCTGGGAGGCAGTTGAGCAGTCTTGGACCCTGGACACTTATTGTGTTGTCTCTCAATGTACTCGTTGCGCCCCTGCTTTTCAGTAGAGGAATGTTGCATCTATATGCATGTTGCTTCTATATTGCATCTATATACTTTTTTTCAAAAATTTTTCTGGTTCATCAGTGGGTAAGTTGTGTTTACCTGCAGATGAAGAAGCTATGAACAAGAAAGGTAGGGACTATTAGGATGTTTTGGCTTAGACTCAGATGACTCATCCTTTTGCACCATTTTACATTGTTTCCTCATACTCAGATTCACTTGCAACAAGAATTCTAATCTCTTGTCGTATCTGCTCTTTTTTTTTTCTTCTCATGGAAGCCAATCCTACTTGAAGTGGGAATAAAAAAAATCAGCTACTGTGTCTGTCATCGGCAAAAATGAATTAAGTGTTCGTTTCACTGCTTCATGCAAGACTTTGATCAGTGTCGTCCCGTAGCTCGATCGCTAGCGCACTGAGCTCACACACTAAGGTCCGGGGTTCGAATCTCCTTCGGTACGGCTGAAAAACATTAGGGACGTGTTTCCATAAGACACCTGCTGTCCCTGTCCCTGTTCACCCATCAGTTTAAAATGGATACCTAGTTGTTTGTCGACTGGTGTGGGTTGCATCCTGGGACAAAACTGACCTAATTTGCCTGAAATGCTCAGCATAACAAGCGGCTTTCTGTATAGTAGTATGTCATTGATGTCAGCTAGACCTGTATACCTTGTACATGTACTTGTAGTAAATAAAGACATTATTATATTATAAATATTACAATGTTTCACAGCAGGAAGGGTCAGAATCATGTAACTTCTGCACGCATTGCAGTAGACCGATAATTACTGGCCGAGTTGTTGAGATGGTGACTCGTTTTCTTTCCTCTCACTTATTATATTGATTCTTTTGATATGTCCATTAAAAAAATACCCAATTTTTTCACAGATTCAACATTTACCTCACAAATTAGTTTTATATGATTTATCACATCAGAAGTTTGTCAGAAAGGAAAACAATAACTAGGCGTGAAAATTTATTATTTTCACTATTGAAATTATAATGAAAATAATCATTAAATCAATGATTTAATGTGTACTAAGCAACATTAAAATTGATATTCCTATTAAAAACAAAGGCATTTGAATAACATTGACAAACAGATATTTCTTTCTATAAAATTAAATATTTTCTCAGAATTGCGAGGTTCTAGGTTCTAGTGATGGAGATGTATTGGAATATGTTCTAGTGTCGCGATTAGGTGCAAGAGATGTAGAACACGTTCTATAGAGACTCATGATAATTACTAGTCTAGTATATGAAGCATTAATTAACGTGCAACGGGACTTGGACCTCT